GCTTCAATCGCTTGCTAAACTCGCTGTTGACTAAGGTTGACGTTCAAATGACGTTGTTAACCAAACGAAAGCAAGAATTCGAACCGCTTCCTGCCACCATGTAACGTTGTGGCTTTGTACAGCAACAAACGGGTCTTGTAAACATAAACAAACGATACTTTTAATCCATAAGTCGGTTCACTGAAGACTCGAGTACAAGATCGCGAGCACATGTAAAATCTGGCATCCTATTGGATAACAACTATCACGTGACGTTACAAGACTGTGACCATATCCCCTTGCCTCTTAGTTTTTAAAACATCTACTACAGATGTAATGGGTGGTGCTGCTGGTGGTACATATTTAAATGGAATGGCCATCGTGGAGACATCCTTAACAATGCTGTTCCGTAAAACTGTAAATACTTGAAGGCTTGCCACATTCTTCAACATTTGTTGAACTTAGCTTAACCTATGCCTGAAAAATAAAATGCTGCAGGGCTTGTTCCAGGAAACGAAAACAACTATTATGACAATGATGAAAAAACTGAAAAACTTTGTTTATAGTGCATGACGTTGTAAGGTCTTGACGGCTTATCGTAACATTGAAATATGTCAGCTTTCAAAGTGATGAAAAGTTTGTCCTGGCACTTAAGGAATTAAAAAAACTATTTCAATATCAAGGCAAAGTAAAATTTAAAACATACCTTTAGCTTTCTTCGATCCGCTTTACGAGAAGCCAAAGATACTGGTAAGTTCTTTCTGCACCGCGTGGGGACACTTGGCCGCCATTTTGGAACATATGGCCACGTTTCACCGTGAACGCCTGGACTCAAGTAAAATGGCGTTCATCGATCGTGTCCAGAACCGTAAGCAAGTTTCGCGGTTTAATTTGGATCACAGTCGTGCAAGGAACGGAAGAGAAATTCGGAAACAACTCAAGCAAACTTGCAGAACAAAACAAAGAAAAGAAAAGCGACTTAAACACAAAATAGGCGGCTATAAATCCCAGAGTAAGCGGCGATCAATCGTCGGGTGCCACCTTCTTTGAGAACCCTGGTTCAGGACGGTAGATAAACTTGCAAATTATTGCCCTCGGCTTGTCGGCGATACTTAGGCTTACGCGGTGCGCATTTTCTATCTTCGGCTTCATTTTAAGTTGCTCAGTTAAAATATCTCAGATTTTCTGATGGCAAGCCTCCCCAGGAGACTCCGAGATGTTGTGGAACCTCAGATTGTATTCACGCGAATAGCATTCGATGGACAGGAGTCACTCGTGCATTGCTCCAATTTGTTGGGCTTGATTTGCATGGTACTTTCAATTCCTTCAATTTTGCAGTTGGCATCATGGAGTTCGCCCTTGACTTCTTCGTAGTTCTGGTTGATTTTTGTGAGTCTTGCTGAGATGTCGTTCAAGGACGACTCGTTAAGTTGGACTTTTAAGGTGGCTACAAACCCCAATAATTTGCATTATGAAGCTTTTGCAAGATGCTGTTCAACATCACTTGCCTAACAACCAAAAACATCTCCCTCACAGCACAAGGTGATCGGTGAGTCAGGTATTTCATCTCTTCGAGTCCCAAGTACACTAGTAGGGACAACAACAAAGTGAACTTTCGGTTCGGAATTTCTTTTTTTCCAAGCCAATACAAAGAATAGAGTGCATTGAATAAAACGTTATGAGCAGTATTTTCCTTCTCAGTGATTTCGCTATGAAACGTTGAAACTCTTTGCAGGTGTTCTGCAGATATGGCATCACGATGTTGCTGACTGTTACTATGTTCTATAAGTGTCGGTTTCCGGAAACGAACGAATAAAAATGAAAATAAAAAATTAAAAGTATTAAAACTGAATGTAGTCAATAAAAAGTGGAATGTGTACAATAAAAGATATGAATATGTTCAATAAAAGGCGAAATCCCTGTCAATTTGGGGACGGCCCATTTGCGGTTACTCTTCATTAAAGTTCAAGTTTCTGAGGGCGTGAGACTTTTTTGCCCTTTTGGCGTAGTCCCTGGCGATGACAGCAGGTTGTTCCAAAATATTCCAAATAGTGGATCTTCTGCGAGAAATAGAGTTTTTCATTTAATGTTTCAAAACGTTGTGCGCTAATACGATGTTGATGACGGAGGTCATACTTATGCTCCTTCCCTTGCAGTATATTTTCCAAGCATGATGGAGTTATGCGGTTGTGGATATTATAAGTATAAAGAGTCCTAGTTAGCTGCTTTTCTTACATCCTCAGAGGGCATATCGCGCGGGAGGTTATATTTAACTCTGGCGGCCCTACAATGTATTGATTCCAGATAATTAAATTCGTTTTTGTTTGTACAAGACCCCCAAATTGGTAGTGCATATGTAACTAAGGGTAAAATGACTTTAAAATATAGATCTAAAAGCGAATTCCTGGTTAAAAAGCGGCTGCGTCTGATCAGATTGAGCTTGTTAATGAACCCTCTCTTGAGCTCTGATATGTGTTTTGACCACGTAAGCTTGTTGTCAATGGTTACTGCCGCTGGTTAATTTTTTAAACTGCCTAAGGGACCGATAAGATGATTTCGTTTAAGGATCATTCCCTCGCACTTCTTGGGGTGTGGTACGAGGGAGTTATGTTTGCACCAGAGGGTGAGTTTCTAGAGCTTTGTTCAGCGTTGTTGTGACCTGTTCTACAGATTCACCAACACAGTACATGGTAGTATCACCGGCATACATGGACGTTGTTGCAGTGATAACTGCTTTCGGTAGATCGCTTGTGTACAAGGCGAAGAGTATGGGCCTGAGTACCCCAAGTACGGAGCCCTGTGGTATACCGTGTGCAACTTTGATATTCTCAGAGGGTACGCCATTAATTACAGTATACTGTTCCCGTTCAGATAGATAATCTCTCAGCCATGTCAGCAAGTTTCCCGTGATTGTGAAGTTGAACTCCAGGTTGTGAAGAAGGATTGAGTGTGAAACGCAATCAAACGCCTCCTGGAAGTCAATGAATACGGCGCCCATAACTAATTTGTTATCGATTGCTTGTCGCCGAGTTTCAGTCAGGTGGTTGAGTAATAGCTCTGTTGATCTTCCTTTTCGGTAGGCCCCATTGGTTGTCAGTGACGAGCGCTTCGTTTTTCGAGAAAACATGTTTAGTAATCATGTCCGCTACACATGCTTCTAAAATCTTGCTGGGTACGCTTAGCAAGGAGAGGGGGCAATAATTACTCATTTCCGTAGGATCATCTTTTTTGAATACAGGTGTTTATCTAGCCACTTTCCATATACTGTAGACTCTACATTCGCGTATGCTTTGCATGAAAAGGCTTGTCAGCAGCCCAACAACAGCAGTATTTGCGAGTTTCAATAATTTGGGCGATAAACCATCCGGTCCGGTGGCTTTATTATTCTTCAATAATGTTATTTTCCTGTAAATATCAAGGCTAGATGGATATACATGGTACAGGTATGGAGCATGGACTAGTCAGGAGTTGTGGTGCTTGGAGTTGTCCAGAATTTAATTTCTCAGCTATTGAAGAGAAGAAACAGTTCATAAGGCTCGCTTTCTCCGTGTCTTTTACCGCTAAGCTGTTGTCGTCACGCTTTAATGGACCTATCTTCTCCGTTACTTTGTGGTTGTTAGCTTTGGATAATACATTCCAATACGCCGAGGTGGTCTTCGCCCTCTTCAGTTGATCTCTGAAGTATGCAGCCTTCGCTTTCCTAAGGTCAGATATTATTTCGTTTCTCAACCTCTTATAGTTGGTCCATGTATTTGGATCCTTGGTTTCAACAGCTCTCAGCGATTCATTTTCAACTTGATAGTGTTATTGTTTTGCACTTTAATCTCTTTCAGTGGAGCGTGTGAATCGCAAACGCCCCTGAACAATTGATTCCACGCCCAGAGGATGTCATCCATGTCGTCAAACACTGATGCAATGTAGAAGAGTGTTTTTTCCACGTCTGCTTTAAAATTCTCAGTGTTAAATTGTTTGTAGTTCCTGACTGTAATGACTGGGGCGACAGTCTTTTTCGTTTTAACCTGGGAGTTGCATGTACTAGGCTGTGATGCCCAACGGCAATACTCCAGTTCTCCTAACCAATTCCGGCTTATTTGTGGCGATCACGTCAATCAAGGTCTATGTCGAAGGTGTGATGCGTGTTGCTTCCTTTATCACATTTTGCACATTAAACGCATAAAATATAAGCAGTGAATTTCTTGTTTTGGTTTGTAAGTTAGAGAACGAAGAACATTCAAGTCTCCAAGTAGAACAATATTATCTGTTTTCATCCAAGCTTTTTTCATGATGTTTTCAACCAAGCTTTGTCCATCAGCCATTCATGTTTGAACTTATCTTTTAACATTTTGTGTGCAGTTTGCTCTAGCACAGATAGCTTACAGCATGACTTGCTACTGCATAATGACTGATGATGCACAATGCCTTCTTCTTCTTCTTTGAACAACTAGCTCAAAAGATCAATGCTTTCACCGGCAGAAACCTTTTTGGAATAGTTGATTGGCTTTTCGGGAAGTCTAGCAGGCAAAACTTATACTGTTTTCTCTAAGATACTAGCACCCGCTGCTACAGGCGCTCTGCTCTTATTTTGGATGAAAAAAATAAGTGTATGTCAAATGGAAGTTCGAATTACGGATCAGATTTATCTGCATCGGTAACTTTGCAAGTCTTACAGTTTCAGTTCCTGCGCTTTACACATGCCGTGTGGGCTATTTTTCGAAAATTGTACGAGCCAGACCTTTAACATTTAACCGCTGATAAACAACACGTACCTCGATTGTATTTGCTGCTGAGATCATGTTGTGTGTATATACTTAAACAATTATCCACCTTAGGCTCAGTTAATTTGACATTATTTTGTCCTTCAATGTTTCGGTCGATTTGCTGGAGAACTAATATCTATTTTCTCAGACATTTTATTAAAGGTGGTTACTACCTTCAGTTGTAGTTGTCTCCTTTTGTTTTCGTTTGTCTTGACCAAAAAAAATTTAAGGTTAATTGCTTTTGTTTCACTTAACCTCGCTGGT